TTGAAGGTCCTTTGTGCCTCCCTAGCAGTTGTTAGTGCACCTGAGCAGTCCTTAGCGGTCCGACAACTCTTTAAAAACATAAATTTTATCACTAAAATGATATTTTTCCTTAAAATTATACATTTTTTGTCACTAAACATACTACCTTGTCTTATAAGAATGCCCTAGGGGGTATTTTAAGGTCCTTTGTGCCTCCCTAGCAGTCTTTTGTGTATCTGAGCAGTCCTTAGCGGTCCGACAACTCATAAAATTTTCACCAAAATCATATTTTTTCTTAAAATTATAATTTTTTTTTCACTAAAAATAATACCATGTAATATAAGAATGGCCTAGGAGGTATTTTAAGGTCCTTTGTGCCTCTTTAGTAGTCCTTTGTGGCTCCTTAGCAGTCCTTAGCGGTCCTTAGCAGTCCTTAGCAGTGTTTAGTAGGACCGGAAAATTCTGGTTGCTATGGCAACAAATAGACTGAAAATATGGCAAATTTTACACATAAACTGGATCCAGTGTTAACGCAAAAAGTAATAGAAATATTTTTATGAAACTTGAAATATGGGTAGATGGCAGTCTGGAGATTATGAACATCTTTTTCTTTTCTTCCTATGTTGAAAATTCTGGTTGCTATGGCAACACATAGACTGAAAATATGGCAAATTTTACACATAAACTGAATCCAGTGATAACTCAAAAAGTACTGGAAATATTTTTATGAAACTTGACATATGGGTAGATGGCAGTCTTGAGATTATGCATGTCTTATCTGTTCTTCCTATTTTGAAAAAATATTGGTTGCCTTGGCAACAAATAGGCTTAAAACATGGCAAATATAAAAATATTTGTGATTAGTCAAAGAGAGCTGAAATTTTTTATGAAATTGCATCTTTAATTCAAGAGTTATCTCCTCTTTAAGAATTTTGCTTTTAAAAATGTTATATTTTGGTAACAGGGATGTTTCAAATATTAACTTTAGAGTGTCCTTCAGTACGTCTGTCTGTGCATAAAAACTGTTTCCTGTGATCACTTTTAAAGAACTTTTCCAACAAATTTACTTAAAATAGAGAAAAATTGAAACATTAGTGAATGGCCAATGGCCCTTCAGAATGTTGATGGGGTTCTAACCGGTAGGGGACTTATGGATTGCTTGCAATACTATGATAATTGCTTGTTTTATTGGGGAGGCTATGCCGACCCAATGTTAATAACCATCCGTCAAATCTTACTGCCGCGGTAATCAGGTCAAAAAATAGTACCTTGATATTTTCTAAGCTGACTCATCACTCATCACAGACATTTACAATATGAAAATATTTTCATTCTTTAATTTCATATCTGAAATTTGTAAAGATAATAATTCTCTGAAAAATTCTTGATTTTTGTTTAAATCACTACTCCGTGACGTCATACTGCCGCGGTAATCAGGTTTATGCATACGTACGTCTGTAATAAATAGTTCTGGTATGAAAACCCTTCAAAATAATAACTTTATCAATATTTTTTTAACAAAAAGCATAAATGAAAATTTATAAGTAAATGCTTTAATTTTGTGGCAAATATTCTTTATTATTTTTGATAACAATTTTCCAATTACTACGCAGCGACCAACTGTTTATGACGGGTCATTAACTAGAACGTTGCAACACCGTATTCTCAATATCATGCATGTTCTTTTGTTGTTATAAACCATTAATAGTCCTTAATATTTTTTAAAGACAAATAATTGTAAGCTGTCGCTTACATCAGAGACATGGATCATGCTTGCGTGATAACTAAGGAAAACTAACTTATTAGTACACCCCAGGAGGCTGTACGCGGAAAACGGTCATAAACCGCTATATCATATAGCTGTTAGTAAATATTTTGCATACATTTAACTAAAAATTCACTGATGGTGATGAACATATAGTTTGAAAACATTATATTCTTGAACCATTATCGCCGAAAAAAAACTATTTAACTACAAAACCCCTAAGGACCCTCCGACAAAATTCCAGCACAATATTACATTTTACATTAGGAAAATAAAAAAAGCAATACTTATATTTTCATCTTACATAATTCATTAATCAAACTTTTAACATAAAAGTATCTTTTAAAAATATGTCTGGCAATTGACAGATCCCTACTCCGATCTTTTATTTGTATAGGAATAAATTTAAACATGTGCTCTTTTGTTTAGGAATATTTTGTAGTGAAAGTCTTATATATTCACTAATCTCATAATTAGAATTAGACAGGTCAGGGATTTATACAACCAGTTGTTTAGTTAACTATGCTCATTTTAATCCCAATAGAAACATTCAAATATTTGGGGTAAAAAACATGACCAAAGTACCTAGTAGTCGTTTACCCGGTGGTGATCCCATTAAACTGATTATAGATTCGAATTGATTAGAAAACACAAATAGAAACATGTGTTTCCGTACAACAAAAATCGGAAGTAAAGTGAACAGTTAATTGACAGAAATATGTGGTCAAATATGTTTTAACAAGGAAATAATTATTTCAGAGAAAGACGCAAAGATCAGTATGACCCCGTATTGTGTAATTAGAAAGTTTATTCAATTCTAGGGCATACATCATAATTTGATAGTCCATGTGTAATAAAATTCAAATTTTCAATACAGATTATGAGATACATAAAAAATATTAAAGAATAAGAAGCTTTAATTAAAAAACAAACAAAAAAAAAACCCAAAAAAACCCGGCGGCATAAGAGGAATTTCTTATTCATTTTACAACACTTGAAAAATTACTACAGAAAATGTGTTGTTGTTTTTTTTGTTTTGTTTTCAACAAAAGTGTGTGTGTTTTAAGTTTATTTATACTCGGCGCCGGAATAACCATATGTCCGAGATTATAGCATCTGGGACGTCTTTTTCAAGCAGATTCTTCCTGGAAGCCCATTCTTCGTTCTTTGGTGGTAAAGGAGACGACAATACCGTCAAGGCATCAACTTTCTGACTGACGACAACAAAAACGGCATCTATTAGCGCCAAACCTCCAGGGTAAGTCACGACAGGTCAACCAATCACCTCTGGTACTTATGATGACTTGACTATGACCTTCCGTGTGCCTTCTCCGCGACGTGCACACCTCTGGAGGGATTTGGAGAAGTTTCAACAAAAACTTCCAAACACGCCATTTATAACACCATTCATAGCACTGACGGCTTCGATGTTCTCATCTATTTGCGGGAAATGGTCGACAGGGAAAACCCTACGTAATAACCGCACACCCTGTTAACAACAGATTTTCCGCAGTATATATTTCAAGCTAGTGAGGTTTAAAAATACACGTAGAATCTATCGATTGAACTACCATAAGTTGGTTGAGTGTTGGCGGTAAAAAAGAAGATATAACTTCCTGATCAATTTTCACTTAGGTTGATTCAGTTTTGAATAAGCTTTGCAGATATGTATTTTTTCAAGAAATATTTAGCTTTAATATTATCCGACGCCGTCAGTTATGAAATGGGAATAATTTTCTGAAACGTGGTTTTATTCGAGATTTGCTTCTGGAGAAGACAACCTTCTGTCCGTATAGCATGAATATTAATACTCATCACAAGACAGTATCTTATTGATCTCAATTATGGTACATCTAAATGTGTATAATTTTTATGTTCAATAAAAATGTTGCATCACTTGCAGTTGTTATTATCATTCAATAATATTAAAATGACATAAAGTATTTATGATGAACAGTCCTAGAATATTTTGATAAGGAACCGTCAGTTGTAAAATGTTATTGCTATCTGATAATGAACAGTCGTCATACTTGCTGGTATGTCATTTATTATTGACAGTTTAGGTTTTTCAAAATTTGAATGATTAACAGTCCGAATGCAGACCTCAATGAAATGTTCTGGAATATTAACAAAATGAATAGTCAACCACATTAACCATATATATGAATGGTTGAACACAACAGTAAGGATAAATAGCGCAATGTGCATATCTTTTTATTTTGGTAGCACATTTTAAGGAAAAAGAAAAAAAACTATAAGTCTGAAACATTCTCTCATAGCCTCCCCATCAGTACATTCAGTGCTTTGATTTCAATATGTATTATTTATAATGTGGAACACTATCCTTAATTTAAGATATTCAAAATATGTAATAACAAGACTTTAGTGCTTTCATTAAAGATCCTGTAACACATTTTTTTCATGGTTTTATTTCATAAATATGATGCTCAAATTAAGATCTGTCAGTATTGTAAGTTCCAATAAGCATTATTTATAAAGATATTACCGAATTCAACATTTCATGTAAATAAAGGGAGGTAATTAGAAATTTATTTTCTATAAATTCTAAGTCAAATTTTCCAATAAGAAATGAATGCATATAATTTATTGATTAAAAATAATGTGCACACATATTTGCAGTACACATTTTACATATTCTTCGATGTTTGAAAAAAAATTTATTTACATAATTATATACAAATATAATTTTTTGCAAGTGTGGTATACACACAGTAACAATATCAATCACAAAACATACATGATCTTTAAGTTTATTTCAATATTAATATAAAATGTGCATTCAATAAGGTAGTTTTAATATGCTAATATGTATTTTAACTTAAAGGTCCTTTCATTTAATTGGTTTCAATATCTACATGCTAGTGTTTCCAGGTGCTTTCAATAGGGTGATTTCAATATGTACATTACAACTGTTTTCAATAAGGTGGTTTTAATATGTACTTACAGGTGCTCCCTATATATACTTACAGGTGCTATGCTCTCTATATATACTTACAGGTGCTATCAGTATGTGCTTACAGGTAGTTTTTATATATATTTATTTACAGGTGCTTTCAATTTGTCCTTCAAGGTGCTGCAATATATATATTTACAGGTGCTTTCAATTTGTCCTTCAAGGTGCTGCAATATATATATTTACAGGTGCTTTCAATTTGTCCTTCAAGGTGCTGCAATATATATATTTACAGGTGCTTTCAATTTGTACTTCAAGGTGCTGCAATATATATATTTACAGGTGCTTTCAATATGGAGGGAACAACTAACATTCTGTCATTGGACGTACTACGCGCCATCGCAAAGACCAAAGGTCAGGTTCTTGCGTCATTTAGTAAAGACATAAATGATCGAATGTTAGGACTGAAGAACGAAACTCTTGCACCTTCAGCAGCTAAGGTTCTGGATGCCAACAATGCCATCATTAAGTTTGTACAGGACAATGCAACAAAACAAGATGTTATGGAAATGGCAGCAAGGGATCTGGCTTTCAGTTTATGTAGAACTTATACAGGTAACTGATTTTCATTTAACAGTTTAATTTTCAGGTCAAATAAGTAAATATATAGTTATTTTAGTTTCCCTTGTTGGTCTTGAGTTTGGGTTCGTAGACAAGGAATATGTTTTTCAGTGAAGGTTTGGTTAACAACAATATGTCTTGCTGATCTTTCAAATTTACAGAATGACAGATAAAAAGTGGTTTTAAATACTACTTTTATTATAGGAATACCTAACTGCCTACCAGTTAATGGCTGAAATGTGATTTTGTGAACTGGTGCTTAGTATAAAAATATGTTAGTTTAAGATCTATACAAGTTCTGAATACTTCACAAAGAGTTTTTCAGAACTTTAATTTGTGTTGATTTAAAAACTTGAATGTTTACAATAAAACCATTTAAGAGCAGTAATGCACTGGAAAATATTATACTGTTGTTGTAATGAGGTAATTGTTCTGCAGAGGTTACACTGTGGTATGTTTATATAAATAATTAAATGTTCTCTTTTGTTTTCAGTGAATGGAATATAGTGAAGTAATATATTTCTTGTTTTATTTTCTCAGGAGCACTTCTTGTTGATCATGCTTGCAGTAATGTTAGTACACCACAGGATGTTTATGTTGCTCAAAGGTAACCTGTTGATTCTCTTTTATTTACTGGTATTTTACTCTATCAATGATTTACATGTATAAATGCAAATAAGGCATGCACATGCATGGGCCACCAGTATGAAGTCAAGTCAATATGCATATCTGAGCAACCCAGAATCTTATCTGTTGGCAACTAAAATGTTGGTTTCTTGTTTTGATTCTTTCCTTTGGTCATTTATGGGGCATAGTGGGCCTTTAAACAAAGTGAAGTATGAATTATACAGTGTGTTTTTGCCCCCATTATTTAGGGGGATGGAAAATTTAGATTATCTCTTTTACATCCTCCCTGCAGACACCCTGTCCATCCCTAAACTTACAACAGTGGAAGGTGGGGACATCTGTGACTAATGGACATCATTTGTGTCCTGTGGAGACAATTCATGTATTTTGTGAAATGTTGAAAATTTACCAATATTTCATGTGTTTATTTTTAGATGGTGTGAGAAAGATTTATCATTAGTTAAAACCAATGCACAACTAGGACAGTATAGCGGTGACTCAACCAAGAATGATTTTGATCTGGTGTATGATTGTTACCATGAGGGCGATAGACTGTAAAATTACAAAAACTTGATCAGCCTGCAAAAATGTGTTCCCATGAACATTATCAACATTGATTTACAAAAAATTGACTGTGATTTACAATGATATCAGCCTGTGATTATTGTTGTTTTTAGCTCGACTTTTCTATGAAAAGGGGAGCTATCCTACTCGCCCCGGCGTCGGCGTCGGCGTTAGCGTTGGCGTCACACCTTGGTTAAGTTTTTCGTACCACCCCACTTTATTTCAGAAGTATTACAAGTATGGCTTTGAAACTTACCATACTTGTTCACCATCATAACCTCCATCTACAGACAAGAGTACATAACTCTGTCAAGGTTTTTGACAGAATTATGGCCCTTTTTTGACTTAGAAAGTGTATTGAGCTTGGTTAAGTTTTTTGTACCACCTCACTTTATTTCAAAACCATTGGAGGTATTGCTTTGAAACTGACCATACTTGTTTACCATCACGACCTTCATCAACAGACAAGAGGACATAACTCTGTCAAGGTTTTTGACAGAATTATGCCCCTTTTTGACTTAGAAAATACATTGAATATGGGTAAAATCCACTTATTGCCTTAACCCTTTGAGATATTGCTTTGAAACTTTTAATGCTATTTCACATCATTACCCCCATCTGTACGCAAGAGAAGGTAACTCTGTCAAGGATTTGTTTTAAAAATTAAGGCCTTTTATCGACTTAGAATCTTGGTTAAGTTTTTAGTACCAGTCCACTTTTTGACTGAACTGTTTGAGATATTAATTTGAAAGTTGGAATACTTGTTTACAATCATGATTCCCAAACATGTCCAGGAGAAGGTAATTCTGTCAAAGATTTTATTTGAATTATGGCCCTTAACTGTCAATGTTTTGTATTATAGGCAAGCACTAAAAAACTTAAAAAATCTAAAAAAATTCATTCCTATCCACTTGTTCACTTTACCATAAATTATGTCATATAAACATTGCTGTAATATTCAAGGGTATCAAACAACTAGTTCACTTTAAAAATACAGAGATTCTTGTATTGCCTTTTACTGGCAAGCAATAAAAAAGTCGAGCGCGCTGTCTTACGGACAGCTCTTGTTGTGTATACTTGTGTTAATGTACATTATTTGAATATGAAATTATAAGGTTTAAAGAGGTAACAATAATGTTAGAAATTGATATATCAGCTGTTCATGCTACTTTGGATTGCTGTATTTTATAAGTTTACAAAAATATTTTGGAATTACTGTTGGTGTTTAAATCTAAGCACATGTTTCAATTTGGACATAACCATTCATCATTTCTAACAAAAAGTTTGTTTAGCGAAACAGTGATCTAATGCATTTGGTGTCCATCTCACTTCTCACATGTGTGCTCAAGCTCTTTTAAGAACACATTCAGGTCATGGTTTCTTGTCTAGGAAGCAAGAATTAAAAGTTATGTAATGTAAGATGTAAGAATAAGTTTAACAATCAAACGAAATGTATGTGCATATACCAATTGCTAATGCTTCGCTTGTTTGCATATTCCAATATGTTAGATAACTCTATCAGGTACCTTTTGACAATCAAGTTAAAAAAGATGATCATACTTATTGATAGTATTTTTAGCTGGACTATTCAAAGAATAGGGGGAGCTTTTGTGCTTCCAAATGTGTCACACTTTGGTTAATTTTTTGCGTGCAAGTTGGTATCTTTAAAACAACTGAAGGGAATTGTGTGAAATTCACACACTTATATGAGAGTATAATTGGTAGGCACTGTCCAAGGCCCATAACTCTAACATAAAATTTGACAAAATTATAGCTATTTTTTTAACTTAGAAAATTCTATGTTATCGAGGCTCTTGTTTAAATTTCAAGCACTGAGAATAGTCAAGCACACTGTGCTACCAACAAGCTTTTGTTAATGTTTAAATGGTCAAAATCTTTAATTAGAATTTCAAATGTTTTACAAAGTTGACCTTTATTTCAGGATTTTTTTAACATAACTATCATGTGGATATTGCAGACATTGTGAAGTGTTTAGAATCTTGGTTTATTTTTTCAAAGAGTTACTTTGTTTTTCATTATGTATATTACTTACATAATTTGTTTTACTATATTATAAGTAATATACATAATGAAAAACAAAACATGATTTATTTTAATTGGTATATGTCTTCTTTATTCATAGTTTTGGTCAAAATAATTTTAATGATTTAGGTATAATTTGACAAGCCTGTTAATATCTTATCAAAATTCAGATTTTTTGAATTACAATGTATCATTGTTTGTTTGATTTCAAAGATGCTGAGCTTTTATTTCTTAAAACTTTATGTAATTGAAGGACAGCATGAGGCATCTGTATCATTCATTTAAGCTGTCTGTCTATCACTGTAATTCAAGTCTGTCAAAGAACAGATTCTTGTGTTTTATTAAAAATAAATAAAAAATCAGGTCTTGTGAAACCATTAATAACAAATGAAGTTTGTTAAAAAAACATAAGAATAAACATAAGAATATGTTGATTTATATTTGTGTATAGATTTAAGTATCAAAAGAAAATATTTTTATGTTAGTGTAGTCTAATCAATGTTATTATTATTTTATTAGATTGCTAGAAATTGTTGAAATTTGTTTAAAGTCATTTGATTATTATTATATATAAATCTTGAATAAAATGGTAAATATGCAAATGAAAAAAAAATTTTTTTTTCTCTTTTTTTTTCCAGAAGGTATTAAAGTTTGTATGACAAACATGGATAAAACATTCTGTAAAATAAATTTATTTGAAAACATTTGATACAGAACTTTCCCTTGCACAAAGATAATCAATCACATCATTTTCGATTAAGTGTGTGTGAGAGATTCATGTACAATGTAATTAAGTATATTTTAAATCAAATCAAACATGACAGATTATCTATACATTGAATTTCATTGAAGATTAACTTATGATATCATAAGTATTCTTTCCTTATCAGGGGACATAAGAGAAATAACACTGATAAGTGATACACATGGATTACACTTGTTTTATGCTAATTTTATCATACTTTTATTTGTATTTGTTAAACAACTAGGATATAAAGATAACGGAAGTGGCATAGAGTTTTTAATATATTTCATTAAAGTTCTTTGAAAGACCCTATGTCAATCCATCACAAAGTCCTTATACAATTTCAAATAGATTTTGTCCTATTATGTTTTTCCTCATATGTACAGTTCAGTTTAAACCACAACCGCTGCAACTTCATTTTATTAATGTCTCTGCAGATCTGTTCACACACAAAAATATTTCGACAATTTTCTACACATTGACACCGTCTTTAAATAACCTTTTAACAATTTCCCACTACCTGGCGTCTCTACAAGTTGGTTATTTGTGTTTGGTTGTTCACATCAAGTATGGGCTTATCAGTAAACACAATGTCTGTACCAATCTTCTGATGCTCAAATATCACAATCTATAATGTATAAATAAATTAGGCTGAGTTTCTAATTATTCCCTAAATAATTTAAAATTATAGAAGCCTTATCTAAATTACAAGAATAGAAGGTAACAACTTAGTAACATGACTAATTTAATTAAGCATTTTCATTTACCTCTTTTTAAATTACATCAATCTTTAAAAGATTCGGAATAACTTACCAAAATATTCAACATCGTTTCGATTATTATGCATTCATTGATAAACATAGGATTCACTTTTTATGTCGTGTGTATTTTTCCTTACAGTTGAGTACAGAAATGCAATGACAAAATTATTTGAATGATCATTGTGTCCATGGTGTCAGAATCTGGAGTTTGGGATATGTCTCGGCTCTCCATGAAAATTTCAGCGTGCGAGAATTCTTTTCCATTTATTATAATGATACCTAACATATCTTCTTCCTTCTCCACATGAAATTGATTATCTTATTGAATAACCTTCGTAAAATATTTGATCTTGCTGCTGGGAGAAATCACAGCTTGTGTTTACCTGATTTGCCCCTTGTTTGAGCACTGGTGCCGGCACATACAGGGTCTGTTGTGGTCCAACTATCCAGTATCTACCCAGGTTAAAACCGTTCACAAACACAATACCTTTGCCCCAGCCCTTAAAGAAATTGTTATATATTTTATAAGAATCGTTTGTATATATGTTTTATTAAAATCTTAAGATTAAAAAAAAAATCACAATTAATTTATATTTTGTACAAAACAGTTGTGTTATGACCAAGTTCGTTGTTTGAATACTTCAAATATAGAAAATTAAAATTTAAACGCACCAATGACAATTTGCAGCCATTCAAAGAACTATTAAGTTTTAATCCACTGAATATCTATAGATAAATTCAATGTAAATATTGGCAAATTCAACCCTTTGTGACTACATGTAAAAGTTATCGTAGTTTACCCTTAAAAAGATGAAGGTATCCGTGACATTTTGAGTTATGTTCAGCGTTGCCTTGAACAAACCTGGCACGGTGTCAACATTTGGCACTCCCTGCCAATTATCCCTAAAACAATAGATAATTAATAAATGTAAATATATTTCAATATTAGATTCTTTATATTTACAAGACGTTGTCTACTATGTGTGTCACACAGAAAGGTACTAGCTTTACTGGCAGTTGAGTTTTACAAGTCTTTTAAGGAAAATTAGTCATTTTACTAGAAATTTTTGGCTCGATAAAGGCGAAAGTTATCGGAACCAATTCCTTGGTATTAACGATTACTTTTGTTGTATAGACCAGTAGGACTCGAATCCACGACCCCTAGCCGTGGCATACACTTTAACCACTAGGACATCTTTTACTTATCATTGTCGTTTCACTATTAAAATTCCAAACAACAAATAGCAGTTATATAGCATTTGCAAAATCTTGCAGACATTTTGTAGTTCATTCCTGTGGTTCATATGTAATTGACTAAATGTGTAACTTTGTAAATGTTATTACTCAACAATTATAACAATGAATTAAATCATCTCTCGTATCTAAAAAAGATGTAGTATAACATGAAGTAATGAATAAAATCGGATAACTTTAATTGCAATGATTGTAGCAATGGGTACCTAGTTACGGTATTGTTTTTGAACTCCAAAGGAAATATTGTAAAGTTTGTGATTGCTTTACCATCAATGCTCACACTACCACTGACACCTGATAAGAAACAGAGAGAAAACTTATTAAAATAATGAAGCAAAATTATCGATATTTATTTGTAGAAAATATGCATTTGCTACGTTCATCTTATTCATCCATAATGATAAAATCATTAAGGTATAGGATTCTCGATAACATCTTGGTTAAATTGGACACATATTTAGCAAATAGACAAAGTTTCAGGATTTCAAGACTTGATTTAGAAATGTCAAATAGTTATATTTATTCAAGAATAAATAAAGCTCCGTCTTCTGTGAACTTTACATGTACTTTTTTCTGCGAGAATTAGATAGAACAGAGTTTGTAACCACAATTAATGCTTTTATCCACATGTCATCCTTTCAACCACTTGTAATTCATGCTTTTAACCGCATTTCATGTTTTTGAATGAATTAGATCAGTTGGTCGTCACTACATTAGATTACTGAACTGTATATAATAATACTAGTACCAAAAAACAAAATGAGTGTAATAAATGTGTTGCGCATGCACAAATTTTGTGACATTGACGTACCTTTTCGTTCAGAGTTAAGAATTCCTGTCTCTTCTTTGGCGTAGTTTACTCTACCATTGTTCTCTACCAGAATGTCCAACCGTCGTTCTGACTAAATATTTACATTAGAAAATATAAATGTGACGTGTATATATAAACGTAAGTTTGAATAAACATTTGGCTTAGAATCTTGTACAAACATTATATGACAATGTCTTTTTTATCAGAACATTTAAAGGTTCAAACGCTTGTAGCCCCAAGTCTATAGGAGAATGTTTTATAATAATAGCAAATAACTGTTATACAGAAATTTTCTAAGCTCAAGCTCAGATATCAAGTATTTGATTGGTCTAAAACTGCCACAGAATATGCACTGACCAATGAAAATCTGGAGATTTGAGAAAGAAAAAGATTTACAACTTCAAAGCTTGCATACAAGCAGTATTTATAATACTGTGCCATTGCTCTCTCTCAACAGAAAGAAATAAATAAATTCACATATTTGCACTAGTCATGTATAAAGTTATATACATGTAGGTAAAGATATCATAAATGATTATCGAATGAAAATCGAAGTTTAAGTACTATATAAGTTAGTAATCATCATGGAAAGGCAAGATTCGTGACGTGTCTGAGGTGTATTCGATAGCAAAAGGTATACTTATCGTATTAAACATATACGTAACAAAAAAGTAATAATGTTTTATAAAGCAAACCTTCGAACCATCTGCCTGTAGTTTTACTGTTTTGTTGTTTGATTTCCAGTCTATCACAGCTACCTCGGACCCGTCGATATATATCTAAAATACATGTAACATCTGAAATAACAGTCAAATGTAAAAAAACTCGCATATGGTAGGTAACACGTGACAAAGCAGTAAATGAAATATGATGTGTTCAGTGCTAGTACTTGTTATACTAGTAGTTCCTATATTCTTGACCTTAGGTATCATCTTTTAACACAGACATAAGTAAAGCAATTTTAAGAGTGACTTTTAATGAAAAGAGTTTATCCCGCTTTACTTTTGAAATAGTACAAATTAATTTTTGATGAAGAATGTTGATAATATTATATTAGATGATAAAATGTAGACTTGAAGATAAATTCAAGACAAGTACTCTTTTACAGATTCCCTTTAAACTTATAAATACTACATGTAGTCAATTCTTAGTTTACTATTATTCAATTAATTTTTCATTTATGGAAAGAGTAAAAATATAAACAAATGCATCAAAAAGTAGACCGAAAATGCGCAATGTAAGTTCGTTTCAGGAAGGCCAAAATGACGTTTCCTGTCGACTAAGAATATAATGCCTTACCTGGGCCCTGTCTGCAGGTTGGTTTTCAAACGAGAGAACGGAAGAGTTTCCGGGTATTGTACACCTGTATAAAATATACCCATAGTTTTGTCCATAGCCGCCTTTCAGTTTTAACATTTCCATTGGGACAGCTTTGTCCGATGATATCTATATATATGTATCAACAAAATGGTTATTACAGTAACATATAGAATTACATAGTTTTCTTTAAAAAGGAAAGTAAAACTCATTTGTACTAGAAAAACATTTTATAAAAGCTATGCCTTCTTTGAGAGGATGTAATCACTTAGCTTCAGACTATTAGCTATTATAGTAACTACTATTTTCACGACTCTATACAGGTATTTTAAGAGTATCTTGTTATATTATGTGCGAAGTGTTACTCACATTTACCTGTCCTTTTGACTTCAGCAGATCTTCAAAAGATAAATAGCCATCGACGGATACCGTACCTATATTGTTAGAAATTATTCGCATGATTAATAATGTTAATAATTTTTAAAAGAAAACATTTGTAGAAAAATAGAAAAGAAAACAATAATGTAATATTCTCAGAGTTTGTAATAGTCTTACATTAAAAGTTCATAAAAAAGTGAAGTACAACTTAAATCACATAACAGAAACTGCAAGTCAGCAATTCTATTCTTACTATATACAGTATATCTCTAAGGAGATGTGGTGATACCGGGTCCGTCCCAGGCGTTGTCATCAGTAAATTGGTTAATTTCTCTATAAATATGTCGGGGCCTCAAGCAAATATTGAAGCAGATTTGGTCACTAAATTCATGGACGATTATCGCAAATTCGCAAAACGTTACAGCTACGGAGAACAATAGGTGATAGTAAGAGCATCGAAACACGAGTCTATCTGATTTGTATGAGGGGGCGTAGCCCCCCGAGTATTAATCAGATTGCCGAATGTTTGATGTTCTTTCTCTTTTGTATCATAGTCAAACATAAAAACACGTTCCCTGTTGTCACAATATGAAACCTCGGAAAAAAGTAACCAGTGAACGAACATTTCTGTCGCTTTCCCTGTCACAATAAGTAAGCCACAGCAAAAATGAGCCAATCAATGGGCATGCTCTTGAGTGCGGGTAACTAATACCTACACTCCAGTTAACGCACTATGCATGTATATGTATACGATTTAACTCTGACACATTTTCAACAGAAAGGTCCCCAAACTATGATACAATTTGTAGTTGTAGTAGTATTTGATGACTAGAGCTATATAGTGAATTACATGTTCGAGATAGCAATAAATTTTTACCGTATGCGCTGGAAGTAATATTTTTCGGCGGCTCTGGCAGCGATTTTATCCCTGAAAGTAAAATGTTTAAGAAACTAGAGTAGATCAGTTAACAACAAAACTTTCTTTTTAAGATACACGAGTATATCATTTTCAACCCTCTCAAGTATTTTGAATTTTCACGAACTAAGATAATCTAGTAGTTCCCTAAAAAAATCTTATAAATCTTATTGGCATCATATCAATAAATACAGTCAGTGAAAAATGAGATATTTTCGCATGCAACTTCCTTAACTAGGGAGAGAATACCTTTGATACACGTATATTTAAATGCCTTCGATATATTTTCGACTGAACGAACTTTGTGAATGATAATGCCATAAACAGCTGTACATAATGTTAACTGTTATAACTAAGAAAGAACACCATAATTATATTGTTCATCATGCAAAACATAAATATATCGAATATATAGGTTTAAACAAAGTAGGGAGAGAGGACCAATGTGTCTGCAATATACTTTTTAAAACTGATGGATTTAGCAACTGACCTTGTGGTTTGTAAATCTTTTCTAGTAACATTTCCCTAGTTTTTAAGTACTTCGGAGTGATGTCCCCCTTTTCTGTCAGCAATGCGTCGTAATCTACAGAATTCATTCTTTAAATTGTTGTTTTGTTGCAAAACTAATATATTGCAAATGTATAATTATAATTTTCATATAATGTAAATATGAGACAGACAAAATGTTGGTGAACAACACGACATGTTTATAGAATTTTAGCGTCTCTATCATACTGACCGAATCGAGAGCTAATACTTCAACGAATAAAGTAAAATGGCCATTACTAAAAAGACACAAAATGTATAAACATCGTTTAATTTATATATTATAGTAATTTGACAGAATTGTTATCTCACCGTAACTAGATACGTCTGGTTTATAGTTATTTTCTTCTTTGTTAGCACCATTCATGAAACCAAAGTTCGTCCCACCGTGGAACATGTAAAAATTCACAGATGCGTTGTTTTGTAGAATTTGCGACAAACTTTCTTCATATTCTTGAAATATACATAATATTATACAGGTAATAAAAAACCCTTCTTTATGCCTGATAGATGTCTACCATATTTTAATTGTCATCTCTTGAAACGGTTAATGCACACAGAATTTAACACACCATACTGTTTAAGAAAAGTAATTTTTTAAACGTTTTAAAAAAAAATATTCAGTTGCTAGTTTGTAGGCAGATTATCGGAAATCATTCAATTTGATTCAATCAAAAGACGACACATCATTATAGATTTAATTACAGATTTATAAAAATGTTTTTTTTATGAAATAATTCATCCGGACACGGGCATTAATATTCAGTAATTGATCGTTACTTTGTGCAGGACAACATATATCGCTATTTAAATACCACTGCTCGATGTAATTGTAATTATCTAAATATTACTATTTCATGTAATTGTAATTATATTCAAAAATCACGCAGCTATATTAAATAACTTTTTTTCCGAGTAAGTCATGGGAACAGACCTGCATTAATTTATTATAACTTAATTACTATCTAAAGGTAGTCCTCCGTGTTCAGATCCCCAATGGTCAAACCAGCCAGTCCAGAATTCAGTGACCATCAGAGGAAAGTCAGAACTCCAGTTACGTATCTGGTCAAACACTTGTTGCCCTTCAGACATTTTCTGGAAGTTTGCTGTTGGCAAGGCATCTATAAGAAATGACTTTCATTTAATACTAAAAAACGGTAAAAAAGAATGAAAACTAAAATACAGACAGACAAATAAGAGTAGTTTAGTGGACTTAACTTTCAGAACAAAAGAAGTGAATATATTGTCCAAATAAAAAGAAATAGAACCAATAAAAACGCCAAAAAAAAACACGCAAATTATGAAAATGCGGAATCCTCGGTTTAGATTGAGTCAGTACTGGAAAGTCTTTGCCCCACCCCATCTAGCACTAGCTTTAACAGAAGTTAATAATTCAACATTAAATGGTATACAATGTATTTTATACGGCGATTGTCATTGATCCTTCAATATGACAACCTTCAACGTGACACATAAGTGCCATCCATGAAAAGCGACACGTACGGTTACCAAGTAAAGAACTGTTTGTGTCCTTAACGAGAAAACAATAAGCGAGGAGAAAACAAAAACAATTTCAAGAGAGGTTCAAAGGGACTCCACTGAGGTTTTTTGACATGATGGGACTGAAAATATTTTTTCCAGATAATTGTACCATTTGATGTAGGTTTAGACCACTAATCTTTGTGCAAAATTTCAGATCATTCGCGCACACCGTTTTTCCAGAATAATTATTCAAATTGTAAAAAACTGACCCAAACTGAAAAGCGTTTAAACGCTTTTCACTCAAATTAGGCTAAGAAAAGCATAAAAATACGATTTTCAATTTATTTCAAAGTATATTTCTTAACTATCTTTGCATATATTACTGTTTAAAGTGCCCCAGCTCATTTATGTAAGAAATTCAAATGTTATGTTTTTAGACTTTTAAACCTCAGTGGAGTCCCTATACTGGTTGATACTTAAAATGTGTAATGTATGAATAAAGACATAAAAATAAATGAAAATAGGTATGTAAACAAACTCACGTTGGTAGAAAGGGTCGTTCTTATAGCCCCATGCGTTATCAGAGGTAAGGAAGAGTTCTGTTAAATTATGTCGCAGATAAAGCTGAAATATAAAAGAAACAGCAATATTCCCCTGTTCTGGAAGACGAAAATGAGTTTCCTTGTAAGTAAAAGAAGTGTTAAGAATAAAGTACAAATGCTGTCTTTTTACTTAATATTTCCTGCAAAAAGTAAACGTAAATAGCTATTTGTAAACACTACATTTATTAACACTGCAGCTAGTTTGCAAATCATTTTTTCTTAGCAATAACTAGATTGTATTTAACACATGTAACAGTTTCAAGATATTCAATAGCAAAAGCTAAGAAATTCAGTTAAACATTCAATCGAATAATTACTGCTTTATATTGAAGTCTAGTGTTTATTTTAGATTTTAAAGAATGGTACAACACGTTAAAAAGGTTTACATTCTTAAGGAATATAAGATGTTCTATTTCAGAGCTGTAAGATCCGAATTCGTTCTCGATTTGAAACGCAATGATTGGTCCACCTCTTGAGTACTGAAATACAAACGTAAATGAGCGTTCACTTAACATTTCAAGCGTGCAAACCGGCGAATCAAATCAATTTAGGGCATGTGGCGCCAAAAACAGGAAAGATGATTTTGGCTAACCACGGTTGTTTCAAACTTAAAGCAGCACCTGGGCTCAAAACCACCTTATCTGCTAGACGTAAGAGATGCATAGACTCCAGTAAGTCGAACCCATTTAGTGGCTTCTTACGATCATGTAGGGATAATATACGCTGGCTGCAATTGTGGCAAACCCTCTGCCACAAAGCATTTTTATATAGTATTTTCTTCAATTGGTAGTTTAAGCATTGCGATATATGAACAAGAACTTTGTGCTGTCTGTTAACATGCCCATATTATAAGGAGTCATGACGATGAACGATGACCTTGGACTGCAACTTAAGTAATTTCAAGTGATTGAAAGCAAGATCACAGATATACAGTTTAAATTTTTCATTATTCTGGTACTAAAAAGAAAACAAATTATATTGACATTAATTAACTTACGAAAAAAAAATTAAAAAAAATTAGTAACTGTTTAAGTGTTTGATTTTATGATTTAAAAAAAAATCCAACGACCTATTTGCGGATGACATGTACGAAGATGAAAGCTCATCCGCATTTTTAAAATCATATTAAGGATGTGAGTACCTGCAAGTCTTCCACCATTGGCAACAATTTGTTAAAGAATCTTTCGACGGCATCAGTATAATTCTTATAGTTACTTCTTACTTTCATGTCTGGGTCGCTTAGCAACCACCTGGAACGATTTCAGTGGATATAAGAATCCCTTTTTATGCATCGCAAAGGTTAAGACAAGTGTCTTATCTAAAGCAAATTTATCATTGACTTCAATGGATATTAAGATATTAAATTGCATGTCATCAATCTAAAAGAATGCCATTTTCAAAAAAAAAATAAAAAATGAAGAAACGGTTACTTACGCCGGAAGACCTCCAAAGTCCCATTCTGAACATATATAAGGTCCTGGTCGGAAGATAACATACAGCCCAAGGTCTTGAGCCAACATGATAAACTTCCTGTAAATGTATAGTCATACTCACAAACTGAACTATCCTCAATTCAATCATATTATGATTAAATAAGAAATCAAATACTATTTGTTTCTTTTAACGAAAAAAAGAAGATATAATTTAAATTTCACTTGCTGTTTTGAGAGGGTAAAAGATACTTGTTTGAAGTCATTGGAAATACTTAAAGTTGAATCGCAATAATGATTATCGCGATTAATTTCAGGGTGGTTAACCCACGTTACTTGTGCAGAACAGAATAATTATATTTTATTTATTGGCATATGTTGACAATTTCTATGTTTGTTTTTTGATATCACGATAACACGTATAACTTTTGTTTCCTCTATTTGACACTACCTGACATGAAAACTTAATTGACATTACCTAATATCAATATTTGACGTACATTACCTGACAGAATACATAACATTACCTTAATATCAATATTTGACGTACATTGCCTGACATCAATGCTTGACTTTACCTAATATCAATATTTGACGCACATTACCTGACATTACCTAATATCAATATTTGACGTATATAACCTGACATGAATACTGACATTACCTAATATCAATATTTGACTTACAATACCTGACATTACCTAATATCAATATTTGACGTGCAATGTCTGACATGGATATTTGACATTGCCTAAAATCAATATTTGACATACATTACCTGACATCAATGTTTGACATAACCGTATATCAATATACGTATTTGACGTACATTACCTGACATGAAAACTAGACATTACCGTTTATCAATATTTGACGTATATTACCTGACAATAATAACTGACATTACCTTATATTAATATTTCACGTATATTACCTGACATTAATACTTGACATTACCTAATATCAATATTTGACGTATATTACCTGACATTAATAATTGACATTATTGCATATGTTACTATAATTAGTAACAAAAATGCGTTTCTTTTTTTTTGAATATGCCATGCGAATATCCCGTATTTGAGCAAGTGTGCCAATATGCCATATTGGCGCACTTGCCAAGTGTGCCAAAATCCCATATTGAGGCTATTTCCGGTCATCACGCACCTGTTGTCCAGTAACGGCAGAACGTCAGCGCGTATATACACGTTACGTAATTGACAACCGCATTGCAAAAAAAAAATGGCCGTAGAAAGGACGTTGCAATCTTTGGCGAATCGCTTGATGGATTTAGATAATATAATCGAACAACAAGGGCAGCCAGCTGACACTTTTGCTTTTGTTGAAAGTATGAAAAACGATAATACAAAAAAGAAAACCAAAAGTGATATGAACAGACTGAATACTTGGTTTCAAACTGAAGGAGAAGAACGAGATATTTTAGAAATTCCTACCACTGAGCTAAATATGTTGCTTGCAAGGTTTTTTATGAACTTGAGAAAGGTAGATGGCTCCGAGTACGAGCCAGACAGTATGGGGAGCATTCTCGCCAGTGTCAACAGATATCTAAAGGACCACGACTACGGAACAAACATCATGACCAGTGATACGTTTAAGCACACCCGTGATGTGGTTGCGACTAAAAGGAAAATATCCAAATCCCACGGAAAAGGCAACAAGAAAAATCGTGCAGATCCATTCACTGGTGAAGAGATCGCAATTTTGAAGCAAAAGGGGCTTCTTGGCAATGGTAAGTAAAGGTCCATAAGTTAAATAGGCTATGTCTTAACATGCATCATTCTGAAAATGGCCCGTGTCATCTTTATAAAATCAGATCTAATAGCTCTTAGCCTACATGTTATATTTCTAATGTTCATAGAATGACATATCTGCAGTAGATCTAGATCCAGCTGTTATTCTAGTAATACTGTTTATAAATAAACTATCTACCTGGTCAATGATGAACAATCTGATGAAATCCACAACCACTAAATATCCTACATTAATGATTAACACACAATAAAATCACTATAAATGTCTTGTTTACATTAATAGCCGTTCATGTACACTATACATAGACTACCACGGTAAAAGTGACGTCATGAAAACTGTGACGTATCGTTTGAATGTCAATCAATACAACTGTCAATCAGTCATAATTATCAATTTATTGTTGTCAGCATTGGCTATTCTAGAAATTCGTAAAAACCAGCATAAGTTCTTTCGATCTCAATATGAATAATGGCAGATATACAATAGCAGGGTAACTAATTTACTGCCTTCTATCGCATAATACTGTTATAAGATTTATCTTTATTTTTATCAACTTACAGAAACGCCTGAAGCTTTGTCTAACACTATCTGGCTGAACAACATTCTTCACTTTGGTTTACGTGGAAGACAGGAGCATCAAACAATGTTGTGGGGAGATGTAGAGCTACTTACAACTGCATCAGGGAGAGAATACTTAGCTTTTACAGAGAGACTGACTAAAACAAGAAACGGCATCGCTAGTGACCCAAGGGATTTTGTGCCCAAAATGTTCGCACAACCAGGTTTGTGAGTTTATTATGTATAAACCGATGAAATTGGTGTTTTACTTATACATTGTATATCGTATAAATGATATCAAAATCGTAAAAATCGTAATCTATATTAACAATCTTCTAAATAGACAGGACATACACAGCTCATGTTAAAACTTGAAAACAACTCAAAACAAATCAAATTTAATCTAAAATTTCGCAAACATTTTAACTATGAAAAAACTGTGTTTTATATTGATGGTATTGACTTAACTATCTTTGAATGTGCTTTGTAGGAGACAAGGACTGTCCAGTAGAAATGTACAAACGATATGCAGAAAAGCGCCCAGACAAGATGAAGACCCCTGACTCTAGGTTTTATGTTGGGTTGAATCCTAACTACAAGCCAGGAAGTGACATAAGCTGGTTCATGAATTCGGCGATGGGCAAAAACAAGTTAGGAACAATTGCAAAAGTCATGTCAGAGAAAGCCAAACTGCCTGGTAGACATACTAACCACAGTGGGAGGAAAACAACTGTTACAGAGCAACTAAGAAATGAAGTACCGGCAATTCATGTTGCCAAGTTGGTTGGACATAAAAATCTAATGTCACTAAACTCTTATAACACCATGTCTATAGAGCAACAGATAACAATGTCTGATAATGCACACGCATTAAACAAAGTAACTGCATCAACATCTACCATTGCCAGAATGGAGGAGCAAGAAATGGCTGATACCGAGTTGGACACCGAGTTGTTAGCCGCATCTCAAGAAATCGAAGAAGCATTAAACAACATTGAACAATTTGAGAAAAGTTGTGAAAATAGTAGTGGCGCACAGGTTCTAAATCTCCCTATAGTTCATCATCCAGATGGAACATTAAGCACATGTATTCGGGATAAAGAAACATCTGGCAGAAAATTTGATCCAAGTCGAATGTTTGTAAATTGTACATTCAATGCTTCAGTACAATTTGTGCTTAAATAGAGACTGAAATTGGACATATTACATAGAAATCGAAAGAAGAAACTATATCTTTCTTTATTTTTATTTTCTGTGATTGCGCATGAAAGAGACGCTTACTTTGAATCAGTTATTTATTTATTTCACTATTATATTGTTTAATACATGAACTGTGGATTAACTATATATTTTTATCTGCTTAAACATACATTGAAATATCTATTTTCAAGCAATTAATAAATATATTATAACAATTACTTTATTGCTTGATTTTATTCCAGTCTGAAAAAATGCTGCGGAACATATGCAATAAACAGGTCATTACATTTGGCAAGTGTGCCTTTAGTCCATATTGGCACACTTGGTTCGAATTTGCCCTCGGGCTAAAGCCCTCGGGCAAATAAGTCACCAAGTGTGCCAATATGGACTAAAGGCACACTTGCCCCATGTAATAACCTCTACTTATCTAATATCAATATTTGACGTACATTACCTGATATTAATACTTGACATTACCTAATATCAATATTTGACGTACATTACCTGACATTACCTTACATCAATTTTTAACTTACATTACCAGACATGAATATCTGACATCACCTAATATCAAAACTTGACGTACATTACCTGACATTACCTTACATCAATTTTTAACTTACATTACCAGACATGAATATCTGACATCACCTAATATCAAAACTTGACGTACATTACCTGACATTACCTTACACCAATATTTGACTTACATTACCAGACATGAATATCTGACATCACCTAATATCAAAACTTGACGTACATTACCTGACATTACCTTACATCAATTTTTAACTTACATTACCAGACATGAATATCTGACATCACCTAATATCAAAACTTGACGTACATTACCTGACATTACCTTACATCAATATTTGACTTACATTACCAGACATGAATATCTGACATCACCTAATATCAAAACTTGACGTACATTACCTGACATTACCTTACATCAATATTTGACTTACATTACCAGACATGAATATCTGACATCACCTAATATCAAAACTTGACGTACATTACCTGACATTACCGTACATCAATATTTGACTTACATTACCAGACATGAATATCTGACATCACCGTATATCAAAACTTGACGTACCTCACATCAAGAATTCCTTCAAAGTTAAACTGCCCAGGGTATTCTTCATGTAGATTCCATGGTACGTACCTGTTGTAAAAAACATCAGTAAATAATATTTAGATAACAAAATGGTATATTTGCTTTTACATTTGATTATAATGATTTGCCTGACGACCGATATATTTCTATATATCAGATATAAAAAAAACAGGATATATGTCTAACCTGGCTGTGATTACCTTAATTTGCGTTAACATTCTTTCTCAAGTAAATGCTTACAATTTGCAAGTTCAGCATTTATAATGCAACAGATCACGGAGAGTGTAAAGAAATGTAGTGCTATTAATAGAATGTATGACGAAAAATAGGAAGCAATGACAACAGCAAAATAACATGGAAACTACAGACTCAATCGGAGTCTCTTCATGGGGGATAATGGTTGTTCAACATCACTCACGCCCCCTAGCACCGGCTTAAGCGGTATTCAAGTCGAACACTGCCTAAACGACACATTTCATATGCAAACGTAGTCAACAACAACTTTTTCCGTGTCAAACTGAAATTATTTAAACTTACGTTTCAACTGTATTTAACCCACAAGCTTTCACTTTCGTTAACCTGTCTTCCCAATATTCCGGAAATGTCCGGAAATAATGTACAGCAGCCGACAATATTTTGAAAGGTTTTCCATCTAAACTGAAATCTCCTTTAGCAAATTTTAAAGTCCCTTCACTTTCATATGGTTTATTTCCTTTCGCTGACATGGTTATTTGAACATTAAATTTAATTTCTGGATGCCTTTATGTGTTATCTTAAACTTGAACAGTACAAACTTGCCCAAGATAAAATGAGTTTTGTATTTAATTTGTAAATGTAGGTCAAATCTTATCTATGTCATAATTTACACCTAGCTTAGAATGCCGAGCAAATTGCTGATCCAAAATATGATACAACTAAGCAAATATGGCAACCTTCCAATAAGGACCTCAAAAATATAACTTCACATGTCGATGTAATCTACACATTTAAACAAATATGGTGTTGGGATTTGTTGACTTGTCTAAGTTTATTTCATTACATTGTATAATAGTCGGCTTAAAAAAATAAAGTCAAATTATAGATATAAAATGTAGTACAGTATTTATATACTAATTATTATGCTTTTAGTTACGACAAGTTCAAAATATATACTTGTTTACGTTATTTCAGACTGCATGGTTGAATAAATTCCGTGTGTATCTGTTTGTAAGACATATAGAAATATTTTACCAGGGCAGATGTTTATTAAATACATTCGTTACTTATAATGCAGATTGAAATTACAGCACATTAAAGGTCACGTGGTTGAACTATTTTCAATCCGTTTTCAACTCCGAGATGATAATGAATAATCAGCGAGGTGTTTTAAATGTGGCAACATATCTTCTCATTTTTCATCATTTAAACAAATAAAACCCAGCCTCAAGCTCATAACACTTCGGCACATTCCGTCAATTTCCGTGTCATATAACGTCATGACAAGAAGCAATAAAAAAATTACGATTTCCCAAATACATGTAGAATGAAGAAATCGTTGATTGATTTAATACGTTACAAAGCTCCTGATTACATATATTACATACTAAGTATTTTCATGTGTAATGTGCGAATAATACATATCATATTTTCGTTTCCAATCGTGGGACTGTACGTTCAAATAAACTTACGTTTCTACGGTGTTTAAGCCACATGCTTTTAATTTAGAGAGCCTGTCTTTCCAGTAATCTGGAACAGTTCTAAAATAATGGACTGCCCCGCTCAATATCCTAAACCGGGTACCGTTTAGGTGAAATCCCCTCTTTGAAAATGTTAGCGCTCCATTGCTGATGTAAGGATTTCCTCTATTGATCACCGGCTTCGTAGTCGTTGACGTGCTAGCTGTTCTTTTACTGATGGACACACGTGTTTCCGTAGAGATTTTGCTCTTAGAATTTCCACCATGGGTAACTGGCACCGCACCATGGGTAACCGGCACCGCACCATGGGTAACCAGCACCGCACCATGGGTAACCGGCACCGCACCATGGGTAACCGGCACCGCAGTTGATGTAGCCGCACTTCCTGCGCTTTCTTTGCTAGATGCACCAACAGCTTTTTTGGTACCATCGTCTCTTTTCAATGTTGATATATAAATTGGTAAAGCTATTGCAGCAATTAACAGTAACACAACAATGAACGTAACTACTTTGGCAGTTTTAGATTTGAATATCTCCATTTTATGAGAACTTGTTTGACTCTCGGATGTTTGAAAATGTCAATTAAACTAGCCATCATAATGTTAATATACTATGATAGGTGTTATCATAGTACTTGAGGTACTTGAGGTATGTACATTGTGTCATACTATCACGATATTAATACATGTTAAATTACTACTCATTAGCAACGCAAGATTTGTAACATGATACCTGAATATAAACCAGGGTGAAACTTTAAAAATAAAATTTAAAATTTGATAAGCTAGATATCTGCTGTTACAATTATTGTTATTTCTTTTTCGTATTTTTTAAGAATATTCCCATAATGCTTGTATGAAAGAAATATGTAAGATTTTTGCCATAACAGAAAATGGCGCATAAAGAAGTCATAACTAACCGGTTTTAAAGCCCTATTTAAAATAGAAGCATACAGCTATATTGAACTGAGCTTTTAGCTAACTGCAGATTAATGGTTAATTCTATGGAAAGAAATATTTCAATATTAATTAACTCATGAGTACCTTAAAGTGTATAAAGCTGTACTTGTATATCTGATGCAAAAATTATTGTTTGAATTTTAAAAAAGTATACTTCCGAGGTGCTTGTATGAAATTTATATGGTAATTTATTACCTTGCGAACGGCGCATGAAAAAACGGATAAAACCATACTTTAAATAGCGAAATAATATTTTGTTTCGGAACATTTTATTCTGTTTACGTACATTATTCATGTGTATTAAATAACAGAGACATTCTATGTTACATCAACCATATAATAATGGAACCAATATAATTTTACAGTTGATAAATTTAACTAAAATATGTCAAAGGATATAGATTTATACCCTCAATTATTTAAGAAAATTCATTTGAAATTGATCAGTAAATATGTTAAATCTCTGTCCCAGGAAAATTCTGATTCATAATGATTTCAATTAATATTTAACATCAAAGGCCTCTTTGTGAACATGTGATTTGATTGTACAGTTTTTTTTATTATAATTTTTATGAACACTTCGTCAGTGTACAAACCCTGCACATGCTTCTACCAAGCATTGCATTACGAAATGTTATTGTCCGTTGTACATTGTAGGGTAAGTAATTCATATTGTACCAAAGTCGGACTGAGTAACCTTGCTTACCTACTTAGTGAAGCCCCGTTAATGGAATGCTCTCATAGTTTATCTCCAAAATAAAATTCAAATAGTATTAAAGCATCAATATTTTTGTAATTGCTCCCCTCTTTTTTTCCTTTTTTTGTGATAAATGACCTATTAGTTATATCAATTTATTTGTTTTCACCATGAATGGTGTTACAGAACTTTTAAATATTATTACCCCTTTAACATTAATCTTTGTAATCCGTTAAAACTAAATATAATTCTATTTAACACCGACTTAAAAACCTGTAAATGTACATCAATATTTCAATCATTGTGTAAAATAGCGGATTATCAGGTCAAAGATTAGTGTTATATTTTCAGCGTTTTCTTTTTAACCGTTCTGTTGTTTATCTGTGCGTTTTTATTGTTTTTTAAGTGTGATTTCAAGATTCTTAAAAATATATATTTGAATGTTTTTTTAAACATGTGATATTTTTATTTGATATATGTCGGCGGCAAGTTTTATATCGAAATGGCTTGAAATCTGACTTGGTGTGTACAATAACCCGGATTTAACTATATTGGAACTTAATGTTTTATACATAATTTTTTGTGCATATATGGTTTAAAAAAGAAAATGTCAAATATAACAACAAATACAGGAGACCAGGCCTGGTACGACGAGTTGGTCGACCGTGAGTATATGTTCTATATAAATGCTTTTACTTCAGACAAATCTAATAAAGATTAAAGTTTAAGTTCTTTTTCATGGAAACGGATTTATTGTTGAACATGTATATAATTTTATGTTGAAGGGTAATAAAGACAAAATCGTGTTAGTTTTTTGTTTCCTATCGCACTTAACTCTCTTATAAATTATCTATTTCTTTGTATATTTCGCTACTTATAAACATTATATCAATACTACGTTGCCTAAAGAAAGGTTGTTTTTTCAAAGAGCTAGATATAACTTTGCACTAAACACAACACGTATATGTCGTATCAACGTACATTTTATTTATTTATTCTGATTTTTCTTATTTACAGCAAATGTTGGGATAGTCAGTGGTATGTCCAATGCGTTGTTCTTCGGGTCTATCATTGGTGGTTTACTTCTCATATGTGCGATTGGCGGGCTTATTTATCATTGCAAACGGTAAGTCAAATCAAGAGATCGAGAGTCTAGTGATATATTTTCTTTTTTTAAAATAAAGCCCGAAATTAAAATAAATCATAGTTGAAAGGTCGCATTTAAATGATAAAAGCCTATGATAAAAGTGCTCGAGTACCAGTGGTCCATAGCCAATTCTTGAATGAAACCTCAAATAAAATCCATTTATTATGAACTTATTTCAGTGGCTGTTATTCGCACGTCGAGTTGCATGCCACATAAAACAAGAAACAGACAACAACAAACAACAACAAAAATAAGAAAAATTAAGCATAAAAGCTCGAAATGAAATGAGAAAATAATCATATCAATTGTGTGGTATTGTCATTAATAGGAATGTAAAAGTATGAAGTTTTACGTTTGAGGGATTAACTTTATATAAGTATGTAAGGCTTGAATTTACATCCATTTCACGAGATAATTCGGAACAAAATTGTAAACCATTTTCTCGACATGTCTTGCCATGGCTCTTTTCATTAAATTACAACTACTAGTCTTCTTTCCTTTTTAGGTTTAATTGTAAAACGTTGGTAAGGTCACGGTCATTGCCCAATATAGTTAATAGCTCGTACATACTGGATATATATCTATAATGAGGAGGGTTGTTTTGTTGATGAGATGAAAACTAACGTCACTGAAAAAGAAGTTTTCTCCCTCTCTTTTTCCTTAAGTAAAGTTTTAGCTTTATCAAAGCTGCGTCAGTAAAAAAAGTTTTGAGTCACTAAGATATTTCGTGCACTTTCAACACAATTTCATGTTTATACAATAACTGTTAGTGTAGTGCTCGTTTTCACTCAATTTTCAGAAAGAAAGAGTTAGAAGAAATGGTACGAGAGCAGGAAGAAGCAAAAGCCAGGGCCAACAACAAAGTTGCTCCAACTCAAGACATTTATGAAGAAATGGAGGGTGAAATACAAAGGCATGAAGAACAGAAAAAGAAACTATCAAAATATCTAAGTTTTCTATTAAGCAAAGACCCGCAAGGTTTAATGTCAGTAAACAACAAGAGAATGGCTGCGCAGAAGGCTAGAGCAAATAAAGGATGGTTCTGACGTGTTCCAAACTATTGTTGACTTTGTAAATATTGTCTATAAACGTTGTTTTTGTTGTTTTCTTTTCGTAATAAAACTATTCTTAAAAGTGTTTCGTTTTAATAAACAGACATGGCTTTAACAAGAACTGAATAACTACAGTGGAGACAATAATATTTTGTGAAATTCTTAGAAAACATGTCAGTAGAAATGTTAATCTGCGTTTACCTCATTTCCGAATTTGAGTAAAAACCAGTCCGTCAAGGTAAAAAGGGAGATTAATGTGCGACAATTGACTTTTGAATGAAGAACATATTCTACAGGTTATGTTGAAGTACATTTCACTTTAGTTTCCATGACCAAGTGTGGTGTGGCGATGGAAACAACGAAGTATGAAAGCGAGATTAACTGTTACAGTAAAACTCAAAATGGAAACATAAATATCTAAAATTTATTTATTTTTATTAAATTGGCAACTAACATGTATGTGTATGTAAAGTAGCTTAAACAATATATATGTAAAAGTAAATATAAAAGCTTTATTGAACAAATATTTCTAAGTAAAATAATAAAATGGAATATTGATGAACAAAGTCTTGATGGATTACAACGAATCAATATAAATAAATCTTCAAAACAAAGAATGAAATGATTAAGATGATATTTGAAGCACTTTAAGATAGTTTTGTACAATAATAGTATAATCGTGTAGTTGCCTTGTAGAAAGCTAATCATTGGCCGATCGTCATCTTTTCCCCACTATATTTTTACAGAGATGTAGATTATATATGTCTCTGATTTTTGTTTCTAAAACGGAACATAACTACAAGATTCGCAAAGTCATTTTCAGCGAAGTTTAGCGTGTGGGAAAAAACACCTGTTGTCACATCAGTTTATATATGTACCCTAACATCAAAGTGAACTAATGTTTTATGAGATTTGTTAAGATTATACACGCTACCATTAGTACCATCCACATTGTCACGGTTGACCCATCAGCTGTATTAAAGAAAAAACAAATCAAATTATCCTAAAAATATGTTGTATCGATGTAATGACGAGATTTGTATATATTGTATATATTGTATTCACTAACCTGATTTTTCACTGTCCATTGTACTCTTAATCATGATGCGATAAACACAGTGTCTTTTGGACAATATCAAGATACATTTGTATCCTATACATTGTGCACATCGGACATTTTGCTTTACAATAATTTTTTATGTTTTATTCAAAGAATATTGAATATTGATTATGATCCTAATTGTTTATATGAATTACCGAGGTCGCCGTCAGGCTTTTCCAGATTCGGCCTTATACATGGAAAGACGCCAAGATACAAGGATCTCAACGCTTACTATCATATAAGAGCTTCAATCTAGATAAAACATTTCACATTAAAATTTTTAAATTCACAAAACAAGCTTTAAGATAATCTTTGTTTGTTTTCTTATTCCAAAACTATTTTAAAATTTACCAATGTATATGCGTACTAAGTACCTCTAGTTAGTCTAAAGTATCTAAGATATATAAGCTTGGCAAAGTTTTCTGGACAAACAATAATGCTAAGATAACTTACATGTTATATTAATGGACAGTGTAACTGAGGCGCACACATTTGACGCACAGCAGGAGATTCTCTCACCCGACATATCGTTCGTCACTTTTAAGGATAGTATTTGAGAGACGTTCTTGCCATTGTATTTATCATCCCTCACAGTGCTCCTGGCGTTGTTCGTGATAATAGGGTTGGTTTGTGCACTCCCTGTACCCTTTCGCCAAACCAAAGTCGAAACTGGATATGACGAATCTGTGGAACAAGTCAACGGCAATGTCGGACCCTTTGTAACCGGTTTATTGCCAGATATTCTAACGATAGTAGGTGGGACTGAAAATAATACATATTTAAACACTTGTTATAACATAGTGATACAAAAACAACATCGTTTCGATTACCATTCTGTATGTAATTTGTGTTTAAGTGTTGAATACTTTATTATCATTTTGCTTTGTATACTATCGCCACCTTGCCTTTTATTCAATATATATCAATGCGATTCTTTTTAATATTTTACTTCTTAAAACAAGATCAGTTGTTATTACTCAAAACGTTCAATACAGCATCTTAATAGCTTATAGATATCCCATACCCTCAGAACAAGTAACTCATTCGGACAAATATATAAAAATTACATAATTTCAAAAAGAATCTTACAATTGAAATATGCCCTCTTAGCAAGAATGTTTTTGGTGACATTATTAACGACGAAAGTACAGCTTTGTTCCTTGCCGTTGTCTCCCTTCCACATATACCACACAGCGGTAACGGAACAGTACATTCTGTTATCCATGTCTGCATCCTGTAAAAGATAAAACTCTTGATGACTTTATGATGGCAGGACAATCCAAAACTATCCACAAAGTATTATTCTGATAATAAGCCCTTTTTGCTTTGAGTTAAAATAACCAATATTCTGAAAAACTGTTTTATGGTTACCATAATTTTTTATGTTTAAAATTGGAACTCATGCTCAATATTTTTTTCCACAGCTAGTACAATCTAAATTCTTTTAATCCTTCAATAATACTACAGAATTAATGAAGTGTTCTGCATCATTTAGGCCAATCATGTGTCAAATATATAATTGAGGTTCGACTTTTAGGATAAAAAATATAATAATGTTAATATCTTAGTAATGTAAACAACATTCGGGTAACTATGCTGTTTTAGATTGTCATCATATAAACATAAAGTGTTCATATAAATTACTAAATCCAATTATGAATCGTACGTGTCGCCACTAGTCAGCATTATTTTTTGAATATAAACAAGATATCATCAGTTTGTACAAAGATTGAGCTCACCTTGTTAATGAACATCTTATTAGAATAATGAATAGTTGTGATAAAGCCTCATCGTTATTTTTAAAAGTATTATATTAAGATTTAGAACATATTTCAATTGCTTTATATAAGAGATTGTTGCAAGGCTTATGTTTATATGTTTTCTTCGTCTGTAGATATGTATTCTTTTAATTAAGATAAGCATTTTAGTATTATTCCATACTAGTATTATTTGTGAACGCATATTAAAATCATTGTGACAGTTATTTGCTGATATTGCCATTTACTTGCAAACCGAGACGAGATGCCTAACAACAAATATATGAAATTTATTCTCATGCTTATTCTAATGCTTATTTTTAAGGAAACTGGAAGCGAAAATTTAGAGCTTTTGTCACCGAAATAGAGCTAGGCTAACGTACACGTCTTTGCCATCCGATAAGTCTCTATAATTTAAGCTGGCCAGCGATTTTCATTTGTTACACAGGGTAGTGAAGTTCTGTTATATGAAATAAACAGTAAAATGGTTAACTTATGCTTAAAACAAACAAACAAACAAACAAACAAACAAAGAGTAGAAAGTAAAAGATGTGTACCGGATCACAGCCGTTGTATGTAATTTTAGCACCAGGTTGAGGATTATCTATGTTTGCTGCCGTAGCAAGTTTAACTGGTATTTGTAAGGCTGGGTTGCTGTATGCACCGCACGTTAGGACGGTTCGGCCACTGCTTGACGTTTCTATATCTATCGATGGCATTTTGTAATCTAAAAGAGAAACATTTTGTCAGTACCAATAATATTACTTTAAATATGCATTTTTATGAGATATTTTATAAATACGATGATGTGAAATATGTTTTGGACTATGTAATGCAATAAAACCGAAGCTTGTCGCTATTATTCAATGTAGAGACTATAACTTTTGTACAAATACTATTAGCTTACACATTGACAAAAATTAAATGTACATGATTTCAGTTCTTTTGTGCAGTTTTATTGGCGGCGTTTTAAATATTACATGTAGTATGAAAGGGAAATGTGCAAATAAATATTCTTACAAATTAATATAACACCATTGAAACGAACAATGTTTAGGCCATAACTTAAACATATCAAATAAGATATGCCGAACAGAACAGAACAGAAAAGAACATAATTATACTGTATGTTTTACTTCTACAGTCATACAAATATAAACAATTTTACAATACATACTAACATAAATCACAAGATCAGAACTAAACATGTCCCTTTCAAATCAATACAGAAACTGGAATTATATGTTTTGTCCCGGCTCTCAAAATAATTACATGTATTTCGATAAGGACCATGATGAAATCCGCCGAATTTTCACGAATGATTGATTTACATGACTTTTTTGCATTATGCATTTACAATTTAAAAAAATAACGAATTTACAGAAACATCTTGTAAAGACAAGCATTTAAGTCATAAAATTCAATATGATTTTCCGTTCAAAGATCTTCCAGCGACATCGTAAACAAATAAAACAGATTAAATCATTTTCTACATTTTAGTGTTTTATTATGTATCATATTCACACAGTTCTAGCTCAGTTAAAACGTTAATTTTGCCATCAGGTAGAGATAACCTTGATCTGAACTGTGACTTTAGGGACAAGGACCTTTCACGAACATATAATAAAAAGTCCTTTGGCCGGTATGAAAAACTATAATAATGAAGTTTTATATAATTGAATAATTGATTTAGACTTCAAACAAACTGGTACTTTGACGTTAGCCGCTAATGCAATTTTTAAACGCCAGACCTCACTTACCATACTGAACCTCAAAATACATGATTGTATTTTTTATGACGAGTTAAAATATTGAAAGTGATAAATTAAAGCTAGCACAAGGAACTTGCAATCTGTATTAATTTCTTAAAAGATGTCCAAATATGCAGAAGTACCCCTGTCTACATGTATAAGCAAAGGGGTTGAATAACAGTATATTGATATTACTTTAGATGGATATAATGTAAATGAGAATATTTTTATATTTTGATCTTTTATAAATGTGTAAAGACATCTGTAAGTGTGTAAGCGTTTATATAAACCCAAAACTGATACTTTTAATCAGATGTGAAATCATGAAAAAAAACAACATTTTTTTCATTCAGTTATAAACATTCAAATATACACGTAGTTTAAAAACATTAACATCGAGGATATTGAATGAGTATAAGTTTACTGAATTTATTTGACTAAAATTATAATACGAGCCTCTGGCGAGCATAATATTGTTTTAAACAGCGAGTTCAATAAATTCAGTAATCATGGTAATGAACTTACACGAGTATAATATTCTTTTTATCACATACCAAATCTAACGACCGTTTGAAATGAAAAAAGACCATTTAGCGCGTCTAAACGCTATGTTTGTATAACGCGAATGAAGCAGTACCTGTAGAAGCTTGCAGAAATCATGGTCTTAAAATGGACAAATATGGTGTTTTGTTCCACCGATTACAACATTTTTCATTCATTATCATACATAAATCGATGTGAAAAGATGAGCTATACCTTAAGTTCATTCCGTAAGGTTAAAAGACAAGATTTTAAGCATTTAAACATTCAGGCGTCTTGTCCGTTATGTACCGGATTACGGTATTAAGTTAGGTGCTCCAATACTTTTTTTAATCTCACTCAACGCGTATAACGTCACGTAAAAATATGCACGGCCGTGCAATACCATTTTTACGGAGTCGCAAAAGCGAAAGTGGTATGTGATAAACTTTATATCATATATGTCTATAACAAACTTACATCCCACATCAAGTTTAACTGATGCCCTTCTTCCAGTACTATCTTGACATGTATATGTTCCGTCATGTTTTAACATAGCCTCCGTCAGTCGTATATGTCTGTTTACGTCACTATCCGCCCACTGCATATCATCCTCGTTAAAAGTGGATCCTGACGTTAAAGGGTTCGACAAAGACGCAGGTCCAGTCCAAACTGGGTATCTATAACTTCCGGTCAGAGGGCACGTGATCGTCACGGGATCTCCTTCCATTACAAGTATGGCGTATGTTTGAACTATTGCTTAAATAGAATGTTACCTTTTACCCTAGTATTATGTATTAGCCACTTCCAGTCTTTTCAATATTATTCAATTTAGTCCTGAAATCTATGTACTGTAGTAGAGACACTTTATATAAAATACTTAGAAATATTCTTATGGAAGCTGTGATTAATTCTTTAACTTGCAGTAAATTGATGTCTGTGGTACAGAGTTTGTATTAATTTTCATTCGTCTAAGATAAAATAAATATTTAGCTTAAAACTCTATCTCTTCCATTTTAAATGAGTGACAACAGAAAATGGCCTGAAAAGTTGTAACGCTTTGCATACTTTTTCGACCAAGGCTCTAGATACATGTTAAAATGATTTTTGAAAACAAAGAACAATAAATATGTTTGACTTACTTGTAAATAGCAACAGAGTTCCACAGTGTAATTTTGTATTCATCTTTTGTTATGAATGTTTGCAAATAAGTATCTGCCAGTTTTTTCTATAGATTCTGTTAGTTTTTTTTATGTTGTTTTTGTTGACTGACACCTCTACCGTTCATAAATGCAGACTTAATATGAATAACGGTTTCTGTGGTATTTAGTGTATATAGTCTTTGTTTGCTACACACCAACGAGCAATTTTGTTTACAACATTTTTACTTAATGTGATAATGTTTATCTAAAAATGTACAAAAAAAAACGCTTGGGGTTATCTATCTTAATGCATCAATATAAAATCTCGTCGGAAAATACCATAAATAATTTAATAAAATGTTTTGAGGTGACTGTACCTTACGTGACAGACGTTACCATTACATATTTAATACAATCTGAATCAGATACTACTTTACTTACTTAAGTTATTAACATATGACTCTAAGTATGATTTATGTTTTTTAAGGATGGTACCGGGTAATATGCAAGTTACCACTTTATGAAAAAAAATCATATCAATTTTTGAAGATTTTGCAAGTCTACGATATCGCAAATGAAAGAAAAACGTATTATCATACTTGACTTCTATTAAATTATTCTATTTATTATTATTATGAACCATTACTCAATTCTCACGCATAAAGATACATGCTTACTAAACTTTAACTGTTGTAATGTGTTTTTCTACAAGGAAATCAAACTTGGGCAAAATGCTTTTAGATTTTTTGAAGTAAAACAATTGTAGAAATAATTTACATGTTATGTGCTTGCAGCATTTATCACCATATTTATACAGCGTAACTAACCCATTAATGTTTTTTATGTTTTAATATATTTTTGACAAGTAACGTGGATTGTGAGTGCCGTTTGCAACGTGTAAATTACTGTCTTTGTACATTTCACAAATTTTTTTACTTGAAATATATTTTCAAAAGTTTGATAATTAGCATAAATATAGAGGCATGTTGCCTTGAAACCCCGCTTTTTTCATGAACAAGTTAAAAATCATTAGCATTATAGAATTATACAACAAGTAACAGATGCGTTTCAAATTAATCGGCATGTGCAATATTCAGTCTTATTCATTGCTGTTTTATCGTCTAAATCACGTGATTATGCACTGTAACACCGCACTTTTGACCCCAACGCGTGTTAAACAGGTACTTATGCATGTTTTGGCATCAGACAAGCGATCGCACTTTGGGTTCATAAAATGTCAATCAATAAATATAATTTCCATGACGTTTTAAATGATATATTGTAGTCAAATCCAAAGGTAAACATAAGTCAAGGTATCAAATGATGCAAAACATTTGCCCTGAATTACTGAGGGGTCTAGAGGGGATGGCGAGGTGTCGAGCGTCCCGAGATAATAAAAATAACATTTATGCTTTATTTGTATTTCATAACAGCTTTTAGATTTTGGTGTACTTCTAAAGTATCCAAAAAGTTACTCATTTGCCAATTACCGGAATAATTTTTTCATCTGTTACTTTTAGGCAATGAAAGTTACAGTGAATTAGTATTTATATTGAAGTACGATACTACATTGTTTACATTTTGCTACTTTTTTGACAAATTATTTCACATTTATTGCTACTCTATTCAGGTAACAAGCATCTACTTTTTCTCTGATTACATTATTTAAACATTATAAAATTCATGTTTGCCCTTTCTGAAGAAGTATGTAAGATTTCCTATTAAAAAGGCCACTGGCGAGCGGTTGTTACGGAGCTTACAAAACAAGCTTAATAATGTATTTGTAAAAGTCGCTATTTACAGTCCGATCGAGAAACTTAATATTTCGCCAGGACATTGTAATAGAGTATATTTATACATGTAGTTCCTTAGAAAAAATATAACTGCATTTGATTAAAATGCATCGTATTTAAATAAAATCAAGGTATCAAATAGACGCAAAACATGTGCCTTAAATTATGGAGGCTATTCGTTGCCAAAAATCCAGCCTTGTTGATCTGAGTTGAACAGTTTGTTAATGGAACAAATACAATTGTATTTCTTTGTATGTAAACTCCAATGTTGCATACTTGGATTGAGTTTGCCGATTTAACATTGTAAACATGCATTTCAACAAAATACATTTTGTTAAACGACAAAACATTAACTGATAGTAGCAATACCAAGTGTTCGAATACTCAAAACAGAAGTTACATTCTTAGCTTTACATTGTCGAACCATCATGATTCAGATCAGCATAATCCAGCTTTATATACGTTTTTCAATAGGAGATAAAATAAGCTCCGCCCATTTCCCCGCCCACTAAATCATCGTAAACAAACGTATTTTCCGCTCATGTCGGCGACAAGAAGCGGCGTAGTTTCCGTTTATCATACCTTTTAGGTGTTTAGTTACTAAAAATAATTCACTTGCATGATTGCCTAGAATCAACATCAGCGGACTTTAAAGGAATATAGGCATATAAGTTTTAAAACGTTGTAGACACCACATTTCCTGGAAAAAGAAACTTAAAAAAAAACCAAAACACCAGGTTACATACTGTCTGAGGTTAAATATTTTTCAAGGAAGTGAAAACTATTGATAAGACTATATTCAACGACAAATAAATTTTACTGATGTTATTCCAATTTGCATAGGAATGAGTAACATTTACAGATAAGCTGCTACCTTACCACTTTCAAATTATCAAGTCAACATCTGATAGAGATTTTGATACGACTAATTACTAATACAGACCAAATTCTGGCTGTTGTCTTTCCTAGTAGTACTATTATATTAGTAGCCTTAATTCTAGCGCATGAGTTGACAAGAAAAAAACTTTTAACAATTATAGTAAAATTATAACCAAAGTTGTATGTAGCCTTTCGTACATAACTTTTTATTTTTACCATATATTTTCCCATTTTTCCCATTTTGTTTTTCAAAAAGTAAAATTTAAATGAGTCCAAATGTATGTATGTTGATTATCAATTTATGTCTACCTTGTTTATTTTATCTCTTAGAAAGCCATCACTTACAAAACTTAATAAATATTCTGTGTAGTATTTCATGTACATAAAAGTAGTTCTCTGTTTTTGATCATATAGACAGCAAATCTAGACAGCAAATCTAGGTAACAGCTAATGACAGCATGTATACACATATTTTAGAGGTGCTATTGATTCAGCACAATGCATGAAAAGACCTTAACCTACGCCAGCTTACATATATTTAACAATAAAAGGCTAAATCTCATCCTATGACTCAAAATACCTCCCAATGGAGGTAAACAGAGTTGCCAGGATACACTGAATATTTATTTCAACATTAATATGGGACAAATTCACAAGTTTTGGTTATACAACGGAATTATCGATAGTAAACTTTGCATTGTTTCGTGGTTATACACTTGGTCAAAAATATGAGTTTTTCTACAATCCAACATAGACCTTTAAAGAAAGAAGGCACAGGCTTATTGTTCAGTTCTCTTTGTTCGTGTTGCCAAAAGTGCCTTCCATGTACCGCATTCTAGTACTATTTGCTGAAGGTAAAAAAAAGATATGCTTAAGAGTATTGCCGTGGCTCACAAAACCCTATCATTGATATCAATGATTAGTAATGTGTGTCATTATATATGGGAAACATTTCCTTATGTTATTTCACCAACTTTAGTTTTTGCATATTATTATGCTCATTATCAGTATATACGTTGTTACATTTTTACATTATATCTTAACCAATTTTGCATTACTTGAATATCCTGTACTAGAATACGTTTTAACAAAATCAGAGGATGTTCAAAGTCAAGATTGATGTAACAGTTTCTATTATATATAATTTGAAATATTTTTGTACCAGCAAGAGTTACCTCTCTTTTTATTCTGCTTTTGTGAAATTGGCTCCGCCTATTAATTTTCGTCTATTTCCGTGATAATTCCATATATGGAAGTTGCAAAATCGTTTACAAATGTTAATCGCGTTAGAATGTAACAGGAAAGTGTGGTGTTGTAAACCTGAGTGTGTCAAGTTGATGTAGTTACATCATTAAAACGTATTGTGTACGTTCTATCGTTTACATTTCTACATGTCGCAAATTTTAAAATTATACATTTATAAATACAGTTTGCAATTTATCTAAGTTGCAAGTTAACAGCTTCAGCTTTCATTTTATCAAATCGAGATAATCAAAATGCTTAATACCAGTGCAGTATGTAACTCTCGGATCGACAATTAGATTTTTACTAATCTGTTTAGTAGAACCGAAGTATGTATTGTCAAGTTTCAAAGGCTGGATTTTTGGCAACGAATAGCCTCTATATTAAATTACAGCAGAATCAATAGGAATTTTAAATGATCTACGGTCCATACCGGTGCTTCCCATTTCGTTCCTGGATTACGCCATAAGAGCCCCGGTTGACCCAGGCAGAGCCCCGGTCGAGCCTAACAGAGCCCCGGCAGAGCCCAGGACGATCCAGGCAGAGTCTCGGTAGAACTCCGGTGGATTGAAAACGCGCGACAATGATTATATATAATTTTTATTTGATATTATATCTATTGTTCCAATACAGTAATTCATGATGTTTTTTTTGAAAATCCTTATGCAAGACCGAATAAAAAACAAACAAGTGAAATCATCGGAATTTGTCGTGATTCTTTTGAAATGAACTGGGCTTTGCCCGGGCTTTACCGGGATCAGCCGTGGCTCCATCATCATCTTCTGGGGCTCTGTCGGCACCCTCCGGGGCTCTGCCGGCGTTTACCGGAGCTCTGTCCAGCATTTGCCCGGATCATCCCCTGTTTGTGCCGGCAGAGCGGCGGTGATTCCCCGTTTTAACCTCGGTCATTCCCGGCAGAGCCAAGGATGAAGCCGGCAAAGCTATACTTCCCGGATCATCCCGGACCACCTCGGCGATATTAATCTGGGGTCGAATGCCGGATGTTTCCGGATCATCCCGGACGTTGCCTGCAAGAGTTACGGATGTACTCAATATGGCACCAAAAGTTATCAAGTAAAAGACTGACTCAATGCATGTTTTTATTTTAGGAATACATTCACAATTTATGTACTAGAGTACTTTTTTATATTGACACAATTTTCAGATATTTCAAGTGGTAAAATAAATGAAACTTTTATCACTTTATCATCAAACAAAGTATC